GATCCCCAAACACAAGAAAATTTATATGAGTAATGTTTTACATCAGGACTTTAAATATGCAACATCAGTAATATTTGAATCATAATCTTTTCATAGATTTCTAGTTAAATTTAGAGATCAGCAAATTTTGTTATGTCCCCCCTCCTCCATATATATATGTGTGTGTGTGTGTGTGTGTGCAGATATATAGGTAGATAGTGGCTTGGAATGAGAAATCAGCAATTCAAGTTCAAATTCCAGTTGAGTAACGTTCACTTTTGTGCAGATACCTTGAGAATGGTATGAAGCCATCATTCCCATAACTATGGGTTAAATAATAGAATAGACATGGTTATTTAGCATTGGATTTTTTTTAATCATTTCACCCCGAGCAAGGCAATGATACCACTAAGTTGCAAGGAGTTACTGGAAGTGAAAGTGAATGAGAAGACTTTATGAGAAGGAACTGGAAACCCAATCTGTAACAGAGAATTGGGTCAACCCGATAAGAGACTCAGAGTTGGTTGCATGTGGAGCTGTAAGCACCAGGAGTTATGTCCTCTTCCACAATGGGCTGTTGAGAGAAGACCTTTTACTTAGAGTAGGTAGCACTGACTATTTGCATATGAATGATACTGGACAGGTATTAGCCAATAGCCAGCATGGGAGAGTTATATAACACCAGTTTTTTCCTCAGTTGAAAGAGCACTCTCAACATGTGTACGTGTGAAAACCAAACAAGACAAACACACAATCCTAAACAGATGGGGAAGACGTGTAAATTTTGTGTGTGTAATACTCTGTAATTAATTTAATTCTTCAAAACAAGGAATACAAAGAAACATGACTGATTCTTAATTTTTTATAAATACTACTGAATGGTGGACAATTTCCTAACAGATGGTGACTTGAGGCAGCAGAAATGTAACTCTACAGAAGGATGCTGAGAATGCAATAGACAGTGTATGTGAAAAAAGGACAAGTGTATGTAGAGAGTTAAACATTTTGAGACACATAATTAATAAGGAAAGAAGGATTGGAGAATTTGACACTCAAAAGACATGTTGAAGACAAGAGAAGCAGAGGGAAAAAATAAGTAACCTGCCTAATGAGTTTGTGTAAATGGATGGCAGAACAGATAGTGGAAAGGAGACTAAGGGGATAAATATTTCTTATAGCTACAAAGAATAGGAAGTCGTGGAGAGCCATAATCACCTTCCTAACAAGCTTGTGTAAATAAGTGATAGAGTGGGAAGGAGAGTAAGGAAACAAACGTCTCTTAGAGCTACAAAGGATAGGAAGTTGTGGAGAGCCATGACCACCTTCCTAACAAGCCGATGTGAATGGCTGGCAGTACAGAGAGTGCAAAGGAGAGTAAGGGGACAAACATCCATTCAAGCCACAAAGGATAGGAAGTTGTAGAGAGCCATAATCAGCTTTTAACAACCTTGTGTAAATGTATAACAGAACAGAGAGTGGAAAAGAGAGTAAGAGGACAAATTTTTCTTAGAGCTACAAAGGACAGGAAGTTGTGGAGAGCCATGATCAACTTCCTAACAAGCAATGCAATGGAGAATGTATGTGAGCAATAAGGAAGTTTTAAGGAAAATGGGAATAAAGAGGACAAGTGCATGTACAGAGTTAAATGTTTTGAGACACATAATTAGTAAGGAAAGAAAGCTTGGAGAATTTGACACTCAAAAGACATATTGAAGACAAGAGGAGCAAAGGGAAAAAATAAGTAACCTTCTCTATACTGCCAGCTTGTGTAAATGGCTGGCAGAACAGAGAGCTGGAAGGAGAGTAAGGGGACAAACATCTCTTAGAGTTACAAAGAATAGGAAGTTGTGGAGAGCCGTGATCCCTTTCCTAACAAGCTTGTGTAAATGGATGGCAGAACAGAAAGTGGGAAAGAGAGTAAAACATCTCTTAGAGCTACAAAGGATAGGAAGTTGTGGAGAACCATGATCGCCCACATCCTGAAAGGACACACCATATAAGAGAAAACTGTGTCTAACTATATATATATATATATATATATATATATAAAATTGAACATAGATGTCAACACTTAGAGGCGACAGCCTGTTTCATGCTAGACACAATCGTCAGGCCACGAGTGCCTGATGACTGCGTCTCAGCATGAAACAGACTGTCGCCTCTAAGTATTGACTTCTATGTTCACTTTTATGTTTACACACGCTCTATCTTTAATATTGAGCACTTTATCGCATAAATATAGCACGTCTTAAGACTATATTTCTTCATATATATATATATATATATATATATATATATATATATATATATATATATATATATATATATATATATATATATATATATATGTATAGTAGTTTTTAAAAAGAAAAAATAAGGCACTGATAGTATCCTGTTACCAAGACAGTCAATAGCTTTGTTGACACATTGAAAATAAGATATTTTTTTTACTTAGAAAACTTATCTTCCAAAGTTATACATTAATATCTCTGGAAATGGTATAATTTATTGCTAGCAAATAAATTAATCAGTCACTAATTGCGTATTTCAGTTACATTATACCTCAGGCCAGGAAACGCACATATATGTGAATATTTTTAACAGCAGAGGAAATTCAAAACACTCCTATGTCACTCCCTTTCAATAGTTTCAGAACAGAAAATAAAATGTAAAAACAATTCAAACTAGTAAGGTCACCTTGTCTCTTCCAGCTTAAAATGATATATTTGAAGTTAAACATGGTGTTGACAAGTTAAATATGTTCCTCTGAATGTCCTACAGTAAAATCCTTTTGAAAGAACTGCGTTTTCTTTTGATCACCTCAGCGTTGAACAATACTGAGCCCAGGTTGATTTTTGGAACCATTGAATTGCCCTAAATTTGAAAGTTGATTTTCGGAAATATATTACTTAATTACTCCTTGTGATGACATTTGTCAATTCCAACAAACCATAGTATATTACTCTTTGCACTACACTACCTTCTTTTTATTCTATGTGCTGGCAATCATGGCTCTCCACAACTTCCTGTCCTTTGTAGTATAATTTGTCTTTTTGCTATCATACCTAAATCTTGTTATGCCATCTATTTACACAACCTTGTTAAGTCGGTTGTGCTCTGTTTTCCTCCTTCTATGTCCTGTGAGTGTCAAATTTTCCAAACCTTCTTTCCTCATTATGTGCCCTAGAAATTTCAACTTTCTCTTTATGATGTTAAGCATAAATGTCCAGTTTGTTTCCATTTTCTCTAAAACTTTGTCATTGCTCACAAGTTTGGTCCAAGGTATTCTCAGCATCCTCCTGTAGAATCTCATTTCTGTTGCTTCAAGTCTCTTCTTCATCTGTGAAGAGATTTTCTAGCATTCATTGCCATACAGGAGGACTTATATTATGTAACGTAATTTTCCCGCTTCTTAATACTTGCATTATTCAAACTATTGTCCTCATCTTTGTTGCCATATTTATTACAATGTTTCGGCCGTTGTATGCTCTGGCCTTCTTCAGGTGGTTGGAATGTCGAAATGAACCCTTTATTTTGCTCACTGGGGTAGACTTTCAGAGGGGAATTAACAGTAAATTACTGATAACTTACATTCATTAAAACATGGCACGTGGAACTAGAACAGTCTACACCAGTGTGCGAAATAAAGGGTTCAGTTCAACATTCCAACCACCTGAAGAAGGCTGGAGTGTACAATGGCCGAAACGTTGTAATAAATATGGCAACAAAGATGAGGACAATAGTTCGAATAATGTAAATAGTGTATATAATACCTCATCTCAGAAATATAGATAGTTACTGAAAGGCCGAAACATTGAAATAAATATGGCGACAAAGATGAGGATACTAGTCTGAATAATGTAAATAGTGTACATAATATCTCAGCTCAGAAATATAGATAGATACTGAAAGGCTGAAACGTTGTAATAAATATGGCAACAAAGATGAGGATAATAGTCCGAATACTGTAAATAGTGTACATAATACCTCATCTCAGAAATATAGACAGATACTGAAGGGCCGAAACTTTGTAATAAATATGGCAACAAAGATGAGGATAATAGTCCGAATAATGTAAATAGTGTACATAATACCTCATCTCAGAAATATAGATAGATACTTCTTAATACTTTGCTTAGCTTTTGGAAGACCTTTCTTAATACTCTGCTTCCAGAGACTAAATAATTCTACATTTAAACAAAATCGATATTCAGTACGACAAGGGTAATGATTATATCAAAAAAGGCATCTTTTTGCGTAAAATAACAAATTACTTTCAGAAAGATATTGTCTTCTCCACCTGATCCCATTTTATCATGCCCTATTTGATAATCCATGATGATAATCCATTTTGATAATCCACTTCAGCTAGAGCAGCTGTTCTCATTGACTCAGCAGATGTTAGTGCATAAATTATATAGGTCTGAGCATTTCCATGACAACAAGATACAGTGGGGCAATCTACCATTACATTTACATCCTGTTACCCTATGATTTTTGCCATGTCAGTATATAATGCTTGGAAGATATTTTCTAAAACATTTCCAGGGGAAAAAAATGGTAGCAATGTGTCTTAAATTCTATTAAATATAGTACTGTGGACAAATAAGATGTACATTGAAGAAAAGTAACTGCAAGTTGGATTTAAATAAATATCTCAAACTCCAAAAATTTTTGTAAAAAACCTGAAAAGTAAATATTAATTCATGATTTTCGTGTTGCACCCTAAGATTATAACTGAAATGTAGATGTAAGCGAGATAAATATAAATTACTTATGGTTTTTGGAACAGCCTCAGGTAAATTAAGTGACAGGAAGGAAAAAGCATTTGTGAGGGCGGTTGACATATCTTCTTTCGTGCTATCTGCTCAAATAATATTGCGGACAGTAAGAGAGAAAGAAAGATAAAAGGTTGGAGGAAATTAATTTCATAATCTTTGTCCTTGAAGATGCCTGCGCCTGCATTTGGGGACATCATATGCACCAATGTGATGTAATGTAATTTTCTGGTTTGCACTGAGTTAAAAGTACGGGTAGAAAGAGAGAGTGAATGGGTGGGGAGAGAATGAGAGGAAGGGTGGAGAGAGTAATAGCAAGAATGTATGGAGAAAGAGGGAATGGGTGTAGAGAGAGATAAAAAGAGAGAATGGGTGTGGAGAGAGACAGAGAGGGAGAGAATGAGTGAAAAGAAATAGAGAGAGAGAACAGGTTGTGGAGAGAGAGAAAGTGAACAAGTGTGGAGAGAGAAGGCAGGAACGAGTGTGGAGAGAGAGAGAAAGAACAGGTTGTGGAGAGAGAGAGAGAGAACAGGTGTGGAGAAAGAGAGAGAGAACAGGTGTGGAGAAAGAGAGAGAGAACAGGTGTGGAGAGAGAGTAGGAAGAAATACAGAGTAGTTAGGTAGAGTTAGAGGAAGTGGGGAGATGATTTGGTGAAGAGAGATAGAGAAAGTGAACAAGTGTGGAGAGAGAAGGCAGGAACGAGTGTGGAGAGAGAGAGAGAGAGAACAAGTGTGGAGGGAGAGAGAACGTGTGAAGAGAGAGAGAACAGGTGTGGAGAAAACGAGAGAGAATAGGTGTGGAGGAAAGAGAGAGAGAGAGAGAAAATGTATACAGAGAGAGTAGGAAGAAATACAGAGTAGGTAGGTAGAAAAAGTGGGGAGATAGATTTGGTGGAGAGAGAGAGAGGGTGGGTGGAAAGGGATAAAAAGAGAGGCTGGTGAGGGAGAGAGAGAATGAGGGTAAGGGAAACAGTAAGAGGGATGGGTAACATTATGACAAAGTAATGGAAAGAATAAACTCTACAGTTGAAACCACTCTCGGCCTCTTGGTTATGTAAGCTACGAATGTGGATCAAAAGTTTTGCCACCTGACACAGAATTATTAGCAAATTTTTATGAAATTGTCATTGTAAAATATAAAATCTAGGATCCTTATCTTCATTGTTATGTCCTCTGAGTCACATTAACCATTACATCACCTACGCATTCAAGCTTACAGCACATGGCATTCCCAATGTCCTCTCCAGCTTTCTAAAGTTGTCTATCACAATTGGTAACACTAGAAATTTCAGATCAAACACTTTAATCAATCCATGGAGATGTATTGTTCTGATTCTGCTAGATGATGTCACTTGATTCTTCCTAGTTAATTATTCCTTGTGATGCCACTTGTCAGTTCCAGGGAACCAGAGGAGATTAATTTTTGCATTAGATGGCCCAGATATTGAATAATTCCTAATTTCAAAAATTTAGACAAAACTATGTAGATTAATATTCAATAGGACAAGGAAGAAAAGATTATTTGGAAAAATTATTTTTTTTTATATAAAATAACAACTTTATTCACATGATGAACAGATGTTCCCTCAGGGAGGCCTCATGATTTGAGCATCTATTGGGATTTAAACTCAACCCAGACCACAAATGGTTTACAGCCATATCACTTTGAAACACAAGTTTCTATATGATCACCAAAGTAATGTCAAACCTGACCAGTACCTAGATGAGTGACCGCTTGGGAATACCATGTGCTGTTAGCTTGGACGTGCAGGTGGTGTAATGGATAATGGCTTGTTAATTGGAGAGCAGGGTTCTAATTCCCATTGGGTTTGTTATATTCACTTACATGCAAATACCCTTGGGAAATCTATATACAAGAGCCAGATCAGATTAAATTACATTATATGAGCAGAAGCAGCCCAGTTTTCATTTTCCAGTCTCAAGAGGGTCTGAAAGTGTCTCCACATCCTTGTGAGTGACAAATTATTTTCCACCCTACAACCCCTTTCCTCACAGATGAAAAGTTGTGAGCCCCTTGCTGCTCTATCGTTATTTCCATGGAAAGTGTTCAGATGAACTATTCTTTTGTTCCACTGGTTCTTACCTTCACAGCTAAGACCTGTCACGCTACGCATGTTATAGTGAACCACCCTGTTCCTTTGGGAAGATGTAAGTTCCACTTGAGCGACTTCTTCTGCAAACCACTGCTCTGTGGAAACTACTCCCAAGAGGATGCTTCCTCGATCACTACAATCTTAACCTGTTCAAGTCTAAGGTTAACCATTATCTTCCACACATATCTGCTCCTTTTCTCACAGATGGTGCTCAACTGACCCCACGATACTGTGCAGTCGACAAAATCCAAAACAACCAACATGCATGCGCAAAATTAAAAATATAAAATGGTGACAATTTACCCATCGCACTCTGTATATACAAACACTTTCTAGTTTCTGGTCCTAAGATCTGATAAATTTTCTGGTTCTAAGATCTGATAATTTACAAATAGAGACTTTTCTGGTTTGTCTGATCTGATAAAGTAATTTAATATATTGCCTCTCTTATCCTCAAAATTCCCAACGTATTTTCCTTACCTACGGTTTTGTCTTTCATTCCGACCTGAAGCAGTCAAACCCAACACAACTCACATTGGCAAAATGTATTGTTTAAGGGTTTTTCTTCTTTGTCTCATCATCTCCACAATCTCATATGTACATATTTTATTTTACTTTTTTTCGCAGAGAGGAGAATGATAATAATAGCAATATTTAAAAACGTAAATACAAGAGTGAGAGATTTTGTGCCGATTCTTTTATACTGATTTTTCATAACGCCATCTAGTGGCCATCAGCAGAAGTTCTTTATCAAACCCAATATATTCAGGTATCACATTTTTTTTTGTTTTACTTGTAAATATTTTAATAATGTATTCTTAATTTACAAACTTGTAAAGGAACAAAGGACGTTAAAAACAAAGGTTAAAATATATATATATATATATATATATATATATGTGTGTGTGTGTGTGTGTGTGTGTGTGTATATTGATATAATAGGAAAGAACTGTGAAGTTGATGATTCGCTTGTTTAGCATTTTTGTTTTTATTTTTAGAATCAGTGCTCGATACAGAAGTAGAGCCTAGATTATAATTATTTTTTAAAAAATATGATTCCATCGCGACATGGAAATTATGATTCTATTATGACACAGATATGCCAAAAACTTAGCATATAACAAACACCCCTAACTCGATCAAAGCAGTGACCCCTTGACAATGAAAAACAAACCCTAGAATACCCCCCCATTTCAGAACTAAAATGAGTAAAACATTGCGGAGTATAGTCCGTCCAAACATAGCCTGAGGATGAGACTGCAACCCGGTAGTTAGTGTTTAATATTGAAATTAAGCCTGAATACTGCTGATCAGTTTTAAAACAGTAATTTCTGTGTCGCAGTGGAATCACATTTTAAAAAAACATAATTATTTTATATATATATATATATATATATATATTATATATATAAGGAAGAGGTTATAGTTGTTCCAACAAGAGAAAAGTGTATATTTCAAAAAGAAGAGAGAAGCTGCAAATGTTTTTGGTTATAAAGAGGATTTTATATATATATATATATATATATATATATATATATATATATATTATTTTACATACTTTTGCAAAAATCTGGAAAATAAAATATGATACATATATAAAAAATCCACATTACAACCAAAAACGTTTGCGGTTTCTCTCTTCTTTTATATATATATGTATATAAAATAGTGTATTTGGGCAGCAATCCTTCTTTTATACAAGTTTCATTAAAAACAACTGACAAGGTACTGCAATTAAGTTTTTTATTTAATTTACTTCTTTTCTGAACATAAACTATTCAGAAATTGTCTATGTAGATATATAAAACAATTGATACATTCAGTTAAAAGTAAAATTAGAATCATCCTCGATCATGGCTAAAAGTATAGCTGAAAGCACTTAGTTATACTGAACATTTGGATCATAATTTGTGTCCAGAAAAGAAGAAAATTATAACACAAGAAAAATTAAAGAAAAATTAACCACAGTACTTGTCAGTCATTTTAATGAAACTGTATGTATATATATATATATATATATATATATATATATATATATATATATATATATATATATATATATATGTATATATATATATATATATATATATATATATATATATATATGTAAATGTTCTAATTTAATTTCCTTTAAAATAGCTTTTTGTTAACATAAATATTTTCTTTAACCATGTATAACACTGCTTCATGCTTGGTAATTTTTCAAAATGGGTGACTTTCTTTTTTAATAGAATTCCTGAGACTTACTGTCCTTTTCAGGTTTTTTAAGGAATCTATCAGCATATTGGTAGATTGAAATCATTTTGTTCCTTTTATTTATGCCACTATTCACGTTCTTAAGTTCTTTTAATCTTTTGCTTCCGCTCCAGGCAAAGATGACAATTTCTTTGTCTTTGATTATTTTTATTTTACTCCAATTCAACTAATTAGGATAGCAAGTGAAAGAATTTACAGTGATGCAACTGGAAAAAAAATTCAAAGAAAATTATGCAAATCATTTACTCTCATTTAAATATAAATATAACACTATATTCTCTCTCTCTTCTCTCTCTCTCTCTCTATATATATATATATATATATATATATATATATATAATATAAATGACAATAGGAAAACTGTAGTTATTGCTGATGCGTTTCATCCAATGAGGACTTTTGTACGAAACAAGTCATTGGATAACTACAGTTTTCCTATTGTCATTTATATTTATAAATATACATATATATATATATATATATATATATAAATTTTTTGCTTTGGTTTACAGCATATTAACCTCAATGAATTATTTAATGCCAACAAAATTTTTATTCCTGGTAATATCTTTTTTCCCCAAAATGTACTGCTGGTAATAATTTTCTAGTGTTTTGAGCCCTGTTTGGGGATTAACTATTTGCCCATAGCTAGGACCCTATCAGGTGCTACCACCTCGGGTCAGTGTGGACCAGGAATTAAGAGGTGGTTCCATGCTTCTCAAAACCTCCTGATCAGAGGCCTTGTTGTTGGATGTAGTTTATTATCTTACCCTGGATGCGGATGTAGTTTATCATCTTACCCAGGATGTATATATAAATATATATATATATATGTGTGGGTGTGTGTGTGTGTATTGTGGATTACCCCCACTTGACACTGCCATAAGTGCCCATTAAGTGGAGTTATCCAAGTCTATAAAAAGGCAGGCATACTCTCTTTTTATATTTTTTCCTCCCCCCACAGTTGTAGCCAAACATTGATGAAGAACGTTGCCAATGGGGCACAGTTGCTTCCTTTATCCTCTGTTAACTGAACTCTCACACACATGCACATATGCATCACACACACACACATAGACAACAATCACATTCTTATAGCTAGTTTCAATGTCTTTTCTTTTCATTTCAATTGTCTACACATGCAAATACATTTTATAATACATGCATTAATTGCCATTTATATTAAATTCATTTTTTTTGTTTTTATTTTTACCTGGACTCACATGAGTCCACCAATATTGTTTGTGGGACAAATGTCCCAGGAGCCCATAAATATTTAATATAAAATGTCTATGCACATCATAACTAAAGAGGTGATACCCACAACATAATAGTGACTTAGTTTTATCCAAACTTTGTAGAATCCTGCAACAATAATTAAATCATTTGAATATACCAAGAATAATTGTTGCTTGTTCAACTGTTGCACATCTTTTATCAACTTTTCAAGATATTTCCACATGGACAGTATGATTACATTCAAGTTATGTCATGTAAAACAAGCGCTTACACTTTCCGGAAGCTTTGTCCGTCAGACAAACGAAGATCCAATGGAATTTCCTGTACGATGAGTCACGATTCTTTTTAATAAGCTGTATGCCCATGCACGCATTCGTCCAGGCCCCACTTACTTAACGAAGGCTTTCCCAAGCAGAACTGTACGATACAGATAAGCAGTTTGTAATAAATCGGTATATACTGCCCCCACCTCATCTTCACTCCATTCTGCCGCCACCATTTCCTCAACTCCCATGTTCCTTAATGGAAAGAGAAATGCTTGGTAATTCCAGCTCTTGTTGCTTAAAATGAGTGAGTAATATGGCGGGATAGATTCTTGTGCATGGGCTGTCAAAGAATTATGGTAATAAAAATAATTTAAAAAAAAACACACTTGTCTTCAAGAAGACTTGGTTTTTTTTTGTGCTTGCAGTTGAAAGTGGATGAAATATTTCGTGAGCTATCTGAGTGATGGTTGGTGAAGTAATTGAGAAAAATAAAATGAAAAAAAATGAAGAATAGAGAATTGAAGATGATAGGAAAAAGAAGGAAATAAATTAGGCAGATGCACATATTGAATAAACAGAGAGAGAGAAGGACACACAGAGAAAAAAATACAGGCAGACAGACGCATACACAAAATAAGTAGAAATAGATAAAAAAAAAAAAATTAAACATAAAGAGGTGAGGAGAACGCATTGTTGAGATGGAGTAAAACAAAAACAAAAAAAAAATAAAGAGTGAATATTGTGACCTGAGCTGAGAGAAAAAAATATTAAACAAACAATGAGAAATGGAAAAGAAAAAAAACTGAGGAGGGAAGAGGATAAAGTAAAGGGAAGAACAGAGGGTGGGAGGAAAGAGAGAGAGGGAAGAAAAATAGAGTGAGGGGAGGGGAGAAGGAATGCAGGGCAGAAGGGAGATGAGGAAGGACAGGTAAGGCGGAAAAACAACATTGATCAAAGTGAATATTTGGAAAAGGTAGACAAGAACATGAAGAAAAAATTTAAATACAACTAGAAAGAGGAGTAGAATAGTTATTTAAAAAAAAAAAAATTTTTCTGGAGTCATTCCATGTCTACAACAATATCTGGATTAATGAAATTAATATTTCACATTTATTTTGCTATCAGAAACTTTGTAATCCAAAAATAAAACAGTTCTTTTTCTTTTGCATTTACATGAAAATGAGCCTTCCCTATTACTCAAAAAAGAATATGCATGCATTTAAAATAAAGTAGGCCAACAACAGTAAAAAAAATTGAATACTGCTGCTATATATGGTCTGGTACTCCCACTGTTTATCTTGAGGTCCTCGACAAAATCCAGAGACGGATATGCAGTTTGATAGGTTTGGCATCTTGTTTACAGTCACTCTCTCACAGACGTGCTGTGGTTTCCCTCTGTCTTTTCTACAAGTATTTTCATTGCAACAGCTCTAATAAGCTACCTTTTCTGGTTTGCAAACTACATAATTTTAAGCGTGCCAATAGGTTGGCATCTTGGTCCCACTCATTTCATTGTCAAAATGGTTAAATGTAGCCATCTCTTCTACTCTACTCCAACAGCTTCTTCTCTTGCACTTCCCTTCAGTGGAACTCCTTTCCTTCAATTTGTTTCCCCAATAGCTCTAATCTTCAAATATTCAAATGTAATGTCAATCAACATCTGATGCCTTGATCCTGACCCCTTTCCTTCTCTACATCCTTTCCTCAAACACCCTCTTTACCCTTGCTCTCACTTTCTGTAACTCCTTGCATGCTAGTGGCACCCATGCCTTGCTTGGGGTGATATGCTTAAAAAAAACCCCAAAAACCTTTCAGTCAAAAAATGACAAAAAGTTGTTCTTTAGCTTATACAACAATATTCACCTGGCACATGTCCATGTCAGGTAAGGGTTTATCATCTCTCAGCTACATCTCTGTCATTGGGCGGAGTGTGAGGAAAATAAATATTGTGAGGTGCCCAGTCACAGGAAATAACTGCCCAAAGGTGCACCACCTCATTGCACTAAAAAGTGGGGATCGCTAGTCATATCGATACCAGTGCAACCAACGATTGCGGGGGCTGGGCAATTTTTGCCATTGGCTCAAGTGTATGCACTTGGGGTTCCCACATTAAACCTGACCGTGTGTCATATCATGCCTCAGTGGAGAGACAAAGTAAATGCTTACCTACCGGGCTTCAGCTGGGTCAGTTTCAAAATATCAGCCACCATCACTGTAGGTACTACTTCTCCTTCAGGGTGAGGCTGGGTTCATTATTTGTACCTGAGGCATTTAAAAAAGTACAAGGGCTGAGGGTGCTTCAGTAATTTTTCCAGGGTATTGTCATTAAACCCACTTTAAAATGCGACATCATGTTACATTCAGTAGCAACATGGGTGCACTGAAAAATACCTATACAACAATATTAAAAAATGTTACACATTCCAAAATGTTATACTTCTTCAAACATGTTGATGACTTGGCAATTCATTGCTCAACAGAGGTAGTGTTAATGAATGCTGTCTAAGCCTGGATATTAACTAAAGAGCTACAGTCTAATCTTCATGGAACCTAAACTTGAAAGCTGAGAGATATATTTAACATCTTCTGGAGACAACCACAACTCTATGGACCCATCCCTGATATTTCTACAATCTTACGAGAACTTTGCGCTTTGCCAGACATTGCCAGACATTGCCAGAATAAGAACTTGTGAGGGATCTACTGTTCTAGACATCTAGCCATGGAGCAAGACAAGTTGTTTGCTCAACATCCACCTACATTGACCACTATGTTATGACACAGAATGCCACCTTAATAACATTCTGACCTTGATGCAAAAACTGTAATGTTTGGCATGATAGACTCATGAAAGTCCAAGCTAACTTGATCAAATAAAAAATTAAAATAATAAATGCTACGACTCTTCAGAATGTAAGTTGGTGGTTCCTTAGTTATGGTACTGTTCTTAGTTTTCTTTTGTGTTAATCAAATTTACCCGAAGCAAGGCAATAAAGCCACTAAGACACAAGGGGGTTACTGTGCATGAAAGAATTAAAAAACAAAAACATTATGAACAAGTGAAAACAATAGAAGAGTAATCAGGAAGACAGTATATAACAACATTGCATTTTAATTTTTGAAGATCAAAGTTGGCTGGAAAGCATGGAGCATAAAGACAGTTCCACAAGCAAGAAGTGCAAGAAAAGAAACTGTTAGCATTGAGCTTATGGTTACATCTAGTCAATTCAACTGTAAACTGACACGGCTATATTGCCACTCTGGTACTATTCATAAAGTCTAGGTACTATAGTGGAAAATCCATCAAAACAATTACCATGCAAGTACATTATTTACATTATTTGGACTATTGTCCTCATCTTTGTCGCCATATTTATTACAATGTTTCGGCTGTTGTACACTCCGGCCTTCTTCAGGTAGTTGGAATGTTGAACTGGACCCTTTATTTCGCTCACTGAGGTAGACTGTTCTAGTTCCACATTCCATGTTTAATGGATGTCAGTTATCAGTTATCTCCTGCTAATTTCCCTCTGAAAGTTCTCTACTGCATTAACCGAGTATTGAACTCACACTCTTTTGGTCCTGTCACTGGATCTAACTAATGCCTTTATCCACTGTGCCATGTGTCCTGTGTAAATAATGTATATAATACCTCATGTCAGAAATATAGACAGATACCATGCAAGTATTTATAGAAAGGGCACACAAAAGCTACATTATAGCAATGGAAAAGTGACAGAAGCCAAGATGCCAGGTCAGAACCAATAACATTGCAGATTCTTGTGTCAGCAATATTATAAACATGGGCGAAGGTTAGACTTATAGGTATGTGAGATAGATTTTGGAGAGAAAAATTGTCTAGCATAACACTGTGAACCAAATTTCTTAACAGCTGATCTAACAATGGCTTCCATGTAATATTTCCAATTCATGTCAGCCGAGAATGTTAACCCGAGAAGGTACAATGAGTCACACTCCTGGAGGTTAGCATCAGCCATGCTGATGGAAAGCAGAAAGACGTCTCTTAATAGAGAAGAGTTTTGTTTGCCCCAGTTAACAACAAGCTGTAGGTTATTCTTTAGCATTTGACACTGTAAATGAGGGAACATCATTGTTAGAGGAGGTATAAGAAAATGATTTTCAACCAGGCAATATTATTATATGTGTTTATATAATCGAGTAACAAAGGAAATAAAATAGATTAGTATGCATGTAAATATAGAAAGAAAACATTTAGGTATTATGTATTGTGCATGTGAAAAGGTTTAGTTACTAAAGGGAGAGATATCCCCATCCCCAGGACAAGGTCCGGGTGGTGTTGTCATTACAGTGGGTAGGAGGAAAAGAGAGAAAACAAGAGAAAAGAAGAAAGAAAATGTCAAGATTTAGGAATTATGAATTGTGTCTGTAATACATGCATGTGTGTATGAGAAAAAGTTCAGTCCTTGCTTTCATTTCATCTTTGGAATTAAAAGGAGTTTTGCTGGTCTCTTGCTTAACTGCACCCAACACATAATAATCAAGGGAGTTGCTGTCTGGGGAGTCAGCTGGCCAGATGTAAGGGATGATGTGGTTGCAGAAATTGTCTGACAGCCATGACTGGGTTTTCCTGTTTATATGTCATGGTGCAGAGTCCTGTTGCTAGACATAGAGCCTTAAAGCAACCACCCATCTCACCCAGAGCAGCACGACCTCCTCTAGGCACTTGTTGAGATATTTTCTTATCAGAATGATCAGAGTGAGTTTTCCAAGCTGCCGTACCTTTGTAATCACCATTAGACTCATCAATCTCTTTCTGAATCCTCTGCACTATCCTCAGCTTGACACCCAAACACTCTGAAATGTTTGTATTGGAGTTTCCAGTGCGAATTCCAAGCAGTATAGCATGCTGTTTCAAAATTTCTGGCAGAGTGAATTGCGTCATGGTGCTCTTTTCCTCACAGACAGTGACCAACTGATACTATTATACTATGCAGTCAACAAAATCAAAAAACAAGCAATTCACATGTGTGAAATTAAAAATATAAAATGGCAACAATTTATCCATCATGCCCCATATATATATATATATATATATATATATATATATATATATATATATATATATATATCCAAAAGAGAAAGAACAGATGGAGTAAAAATTCAAGTTTGTAGCATTTATTTTTAAAAAGTGCTCAATACAATGTAGAGCAAAATATTATTATAATATTTTTAATTATAATAAAATAAAGTTAATTCTGACCTGATTGTTTTTTGAATTCCCTTAATAAATCATTTTTATCATTAGTTATCTACCATCTTAGTTGTGAAGCATGAAAGTTTTTGTGTAGCGATGTAAAATATTTTTATTGTAATTTATTATAATAAAAGTATTATAATAATATATACACACATATATTTGTGTGTGTGTATATATATATATATATATATATATATATATATATATATATATATATATATACACACATATATATATATATATATATATATATATATATGCACATATACACTAAAAAATGTATTTACTTTCTTCCCTTTCCAATGTTAGAATCAATAAATATGTGAATAGGTAAAATTCAAACATATGAAGTAGATTTATACCTTTTCATTATACTTGAGAATTGACAATAAAGCTATTAAACACTTATTTTATGAGATTGCTTATTTACAAGAGTAATTTTATATTCACAAGATTACAAAAATATGTGAACCGACTACAATAAAATATGTATTATTTACCATTTTATAAAAAAAATAAATATGCAAAGACTTTTTTCTATTCATAAATTTATAAAAATGTCTGTGAACAAGAAAATTTAAATAAACACATAACGGTGAGTAACAGTAATTATAAATATTGAAAAAAAAGCATTTTCCAGGCATTTCTTTCATTTGCTCTTGCCACATAAACTCATTAAAATAGGTTAGAAGCATTTCTTCCTTTGAACCAAACATTCAGTTGGGTTTGTAAAATTCGTCTGCTCCAATATATAGAGATTGGTCACATGATGTTTGGCAGTCTCTCATTGGTTAATAAAACCACTAGGTTTTAGAAAAAGCTGACCACCATCACAGAAGGGACTGGACCTGCTCCAAAGCAACGTGCAAGAAATTCTCTCTCAAAGGTACAAGTTATCTAGCCCTATTTCACTCCACCAGATGGTTATGTCCACCTGACATATTCTCTATATATAAGAAAGGACATTGTGTTTATGTTAACTGTTTGTCATATGCTTATTCAAATTTTCTTATTCTATAGTTATTTTAAAATGGTAAATCATAAATGTTGTATTGATTGTTGTATCACTTTTTGATAATTTTGTAATGTTATTCCTTTGACACTACAAGTTCTATATACATTGTTGACTCCCTTGGCAAGAAGTTTTTTTATTCATAAATTTAAAAAATGTCTGTGAACAAGAAAATTTAAATAAACACATAACGGTGAGTAACAGTAATTATAAATATTGAAAAAAAAGCATTTTCCAGGCATTTCTTTCATTTGCTGTTGCCACATAAACTCATTAAAATAAGTTGGGAGTATCTCTTCCACTTACATATTTTGATAATTTTGCAATTGTCATGAATTTTTGAATAAAAAGATTTCTTTTCAAATTTCTTTGTTTCTAAAATAGTTTGGTTTCTTTAACAGCATGTTAACTCCTTATGAGTCATTTAATCCCAAGATTTTATTTTCTTGTGAGTATTTTCATGCTTTGACCCCAGTATGGGGGTTCACTATTTGACCATAGCTGGGACCCTAACAGGTGCTACCACTCCAGGTCAGAGTGTACCTGGGAACAACAGCAATTAAGAGGTGGTTCCATACTCCTCAAAACCTCCCTATCAGAGGCCTTGCTGCCGGATG